TTATTTGCAAAAAATATAACGGGGTTGGGGGGGGATAGAAAAATATATTATAAAAATATATATTATACAAATATAATTTTATATATAAATAATATTTTATATTATTAAAATATTAATATATTAATATATAATTTTATTATATTTTATTATTATTATTATTATTATTATTATTATTATTAATATTAAATATTTATTTAATATTAATATATTAATATATTAATATATTATACTATTTGCAGTTATTAAAAAAAAAAACAATTTCAAAATTCATCCCTAAAAAGCCCATCGGCGGGTAAAGGGTTAATATTAAAAGTCTCATTATTATAAGGGATGATCGAATAATTTCATTTATTTTGTTTTTACATTTAAAGAAAAATTGTCTATCGTATTTTTGATGAATTAACTGTATGTTGATGAATGTACTGTAATATCGAAATCGTTGTATTAATTGTTTGTTAAGTAACAATGATATATGAGATTTCCGAGATATTTTATGGTGAAATTCTTCGTGGAAATATGATCATTCGATAGTAGGTAGGTAACATCGAATCGTTGCGTTGAATACGCGCGGTAACCAGATCGAATTAGGGTGAACCTAAAGCAAACCAAATCGAACCAAATCAAACCGAGCACAAATTGCGAAGGGTGAATAGGATACGCGACATGGTGTACGAATAATGAGCCAATCGGATGGACTATCGTATCTCTTCTACGTTTACTCTATATAACTCAAGGTCACTTGATTTAATTCTAATTGCTGGTCCTACGAACATTTTATTTCATCCTTATTCGTTTTTATTTTTTTGGATTAATTATTATTATGATGCAATTTAGAGTAATGGCATTCATTAGAATGTTTTTTTTTTTTTTTTTAGAAATTTAAGTATTTAAATTATAATATAAATAATTTTTGTTTTAATTTTTGTTTTATAAAATTATTTAAATATATTGAACTATTAAGATATTGTTTAATTGAATTTTATTACAATTTTGATTTACAAGGTAGTTTTATATTTTTAATTAAACGACCCAAACTCATAATAATTAGGATACATTTGGTAATTCCATATATTTTCACAATTATAAAATATATATACGTATATAGTATAAAGGGGAATGTAAAACGTGACACGTTATATTACTGTACAAGCGGACGATATCTTCATTTCGACTTTTGGTATGTATTATAGTTGTACAAAATACACAGTAACTTTAATATCTACCTTTCCTGTAATGTACATTGGACATGTACTTAGAATCATAATTGGGAGACCGAAAAGTTGAAGTTATAAGTAATGGTCATTTAACAACGAAAGATCATCCATGTCATAAAACTAATTTAACTTATATTCAAAATTGAACATTTCATTTATGAAAAATCTTCTTTGATTATTTTTCACTTTTATTTCAATATCTAATTACTCTTTCTTTTTGTTTGTTTTATTAATACTTTATTTACTTATCTCAGGGTAGATTAAAATTATTTTAATGGATTTTTATTACGAGATATCTTATTTAATTATTATTATATGTAATTATAATTAATTTATTTTAATTAATTTTTATTACGGGATATCTTAATAAAACTAATTTAAAACTTACATTCTAAACTCAACATTTTATTTATGAAACATTTTTCTTTGATTATTTTGCATTTTTATTTCAATATTTAATGATTCGTTTTTTTTTTATTGATATTTTTTAATATCAATTTTTATTATTTAATATTAATATAATTCTATTTTACTTTAATAATATTAAAATTATTTCAATGAATTTTTATTACGACATATCTTAATTAATTAATATTCAATATGATTATTAATGAATTATTTTTGTTACAAGATATTTAATTAATTAATATAAGCTAAGATAGATTTAGCAAACATTAATCAATTTTTATTATTTAATATTAATATAATTTAATTTAATTTTATTTATTAACATAAATACTACTAAAATTATTTGAATGAATTTTTATGACAACACATCTTATTTAATTATTATTCTACATAATTATTAATAAATTATTTTTGTCACAAGATATTTAATTAATTAATACAAACTAAGATAGATTTTACAAACAATAAATATAATTTACCAAAATTCAACATAGATGCATGATTACAGTTTTTCATAAAGAATAAGAAAAGTGAGGGAATGGGAAATGTTGAAGGTTTGGGGGTTCATTTCAAACATATCTCTGAGTAACTTGAAACATTATTCGAAGGAACCTAGGAGTCGACCACGAAACGCATCCGTTATCGGTCGTAAAGCTAGATTCTCTCTCTCTCACACTCTCTTTCTCTCTCTCTCTCTCTCTCTCTCTCTCTCTGGTGCTTCTCGATCACAATGTGGATCTCTCTGACGCGTATATCTCCAGCTGCACAACGTCGTATCCGTATCTGTCGTAACCTTCGACCTCGGTCCAGGTACCATGGTTCCGTGACCACCATCTCTCTCCCTCTTTCTCACTCTCTCTCTCTAACATATTCTCTTTTTTCTCTCATTCTTTCATTTCACCTTTCCATTCTCAATTTTGCTTCCAGTTTGCTTTCTCTCTTACGTCAAGCAAGCTGGTGTGCGCGTGTGTGTGTATTTGTTCACACCCTTTTTCTGAAATATCAGAATCCCTTCCAGCAATTTCATTGGTCGCGTGAATTTCATCGCGGGGTATATTATATCTATTCGTTTGGATTTTGTTCTTTTTCAACTATCGTTCGGTTCAACGATCACACTTCCATCAAGAACAACGATTTTGATTTATTGCTATTGAGAAAACAAGAGAGAAAGAGAATGAGAAAGTGTGAGAAAGTGAGAGAGAGAGAGAAGGAATATATACGTATTCGATTTCTTCGAGATTTATCCTTCTCTTATTCGTTTGCTATTTCACGATCTGTTCTTTGTTCCCAGTGTACCTTTTCCTTTGTAAGTAAGAACCTATATATACTTTTACCAATTTTGCTTTAAGTTGTTTTCTTTACGTTGTGAAATGCTTTGAATAAGTACTATGATAATGTCAATATAAATTATGACAATTTTATTGAGGGTTTTAATTATTTTTTATAATTATATTAAATTATTTTATATTTTAATATTTAATATAATAATATAGGTATATATATAAATAATATTTATATTAATATAAATTTATATTAT